CCGCGGTCCCTCCGGTCCCGGCCCCTCGCTCCGCCCCGGCCGCGGGGTCCCGGTTTCCCCCCGCCTTCGCGGGGAACAACCCTTGCGGTTGTTTCCATCGCTCTCACGCAGGCTGCGGGACGCACAGGGGCTCCTTTTCCCCACCCGATTCAAACTAAGCGGTTCCGCTCGCTCCAGCTGGGCTTGCCCTGTAGCTGGCACTGCAGTCGCGCTTTGGGACGGGAAGCCCGTGGCTTCCAGCCGACGGGAAAGCAGCGCATTTCGGTCACCTGCTCAGTCACAGCAGCACGTCGCCAAAAATGAGTCTGAGTGCAGCAGCATGGCGTAAACTCCCAGTAAGACTTCACATCACTTACACATCCTTAGCTGCGTCTGAGGGCAGGTCTCGGTGGAGGAACAGCCACACCTGCCTCACCCACTTACGTGGCTGCTGTTTGTCCTTTCTCACTTGGTACAGGAACCCACCACCTTGGCACAGCATGAAAGTGCCTAATCAGCTGGCATGAAGCAGTGATGTTGATGCCAATCCCAGACTTCAAAGAACTTTCTGCATTTTTGCCTACCTCAGCCAGAACACAGAGAGCTTTTCACCAGCTGCTTTTAGTATTTCAGACCAGAACAAGGGTCTGCCTCTGTTTCAGGTACACTCCACCATGTTAAACCCATCTAGACTGAAGGAGACAGCAATGGTTAGAGTTTCTTTCTGCAAGGTAGATGTACAGCTCTCTGGTCAGGGAAAAGAAACCTACTAAGAGAAACCTACATACAGGGAAATTAACTGAAGTAGTTTAGTAAACAGACTATTTGTTTAACCAAGACTTTATTGAAGACGTTTTAGAAGTTTATGTACAAAGCAACATTCCCACCCCCATACCAGTACATTAGTCACCCACTGGGAACAAAGCAAGTGCCTGGTGTGTGCTGTCAACCTGGGGACACTCAGGGGTTGCTGAGAAATTTAAAGTACCAAATTCATGTAGTCTAGATTCGGGCAATTTCAGTCTTGGCTCAGTTAGGACTGAAGGAAACTGAAGGACCTTTTCCAGAGACATGTCTCCAGTAGACTGAACATACTGGAATCTGACAGCCTACACTGGCTTTACTCTGAGGCCAGGTCATTTACTTCTACAGGGAGTGAGAGGCCCATTTTGGTTTTCAAAGTGAAGAGGAACCAGCCCTGGATTTAACTTGCAGTTTTTAATCTATTTTAGATGGTTTCAAGAGATACCCATCACTAAAAGCACAGTAGTATTTGCAAGAAGCATTAGAACAGAGCAGTAGCAATATCAAGTAAAAGAGTCAGCCACCTCATTTTCCAAATACACCTAGAGAGAGGCTGGATATCAGACTGACTGTTTCAGCCAGCGTATAAGAAAACCTTAGAGACACACATTAGTGGCACAAGTTAAATAGTGACTGACACGCTGATTTTGTAGCATACTGTGCACTACTACCATGGTAGAGTTTCCCCTTGCCAGTCCAGGAAGGAACCATTTTCTTTTTCACCAAGACGGTCCAGAACAGAGAGAATACCTGGGATAGCCTCTTGCACCTGCATGGGAGCCTAGAGCAAATCAAGCTTAGATTATTACTGGGAATATCCTACAAAAGAGAATCAGACGCATTTAAGGAGTTACTGGAATCAAGTGGAATGTATTTGCATGTCTTAGTGTGCCTCTGCAGCACATGGAAGTGTATACTGTATGGTGGGTTCTTGCGCAAGGGTTGGGACAACAAGGGAGTCATACTTCCACATTTTCAGAGGGACATAGCTTACCATGTTTCCACCCATATCTGTCTGAAGCCAGCCTGGATGCAAAGAAATACAGAGAATTCCATCTGATTTCAAGTCTGCAGCAAGACACCTGGTGATCATGTTCAATGCAGTCTACAAGAGTGGAAACCATCTATTAGTGTGCTGGTTTTACAAACCCTGAGCAAGATCTTAAGCCAAACTAATTGACACCTCCCTTCCACCATGCTGTCTCTTGGCAAATGAAAGGGCAGTGACAGTATCACAGTAACTTATCCAGACTTAGTGGGGGCTTCATTCTCAGAGACGTGCTAAGAGAAGCATTGTGAAAGCTCTATTGCCGTCAGCTTACTGCCCAAAGATGAAACTAAGTTACAATGGAAGACAGAGTAGCATTTGAAACTCCTTACTAAGGAGTTGTGGGGAAAATGATATTGACATAAGGACTCTTTTTCTGCAATAATCGTTACACATTCGGTTTTTTACTTCTGAACAGGGAAAACAAGCATATTAACAGCTTATGAGTAGGTGGTATAGGAGAAACTGTGTGTCGTCTTCACTATGTTCGTACAAACTCAGTCACTGGATGTGACAAAACTGAAAACTCCACTTCTTACTAACTAGCATTACCATGTACAGGTCAGCACACTTTTTGTCGAGTTTCATGCCTGCTATCTTGCTTGGACTGGAGAGGAACACAGCAAATAGGACACACAATTGCTGGCATCAGTTCTTCCTTGAATGCCAAGTCTATCTGAAACGGGTCTATATCAGAGTAGCGATGGAACGTTTGTGAGCCTGTTCGTAAGAAGTTGGCATGTTTGCTCCAGATGTACAGTTTTCACAGATCCCATTTCCACCCACATGAAGAACAAGAACAGTTCCTGTGTCAGCCTATCCAAGGAAGTGCTGCACACCTCAGATCATTGTCTTAAGCTCTGAGTGGTCTTAAATTCACAGGCCTGCCCTCACGCAGTGAGCATAGCCCTGGGAAGCCTACAAACCTTTGCTATCCTGTAGGGGTAGACCTTGAGAAACATCTCGTTTGCCTGGACAAGTTGCATGGAGGCAGCAAGAGAGGACATATTGATAATAGCAGCTCTATGGCAGCCCATTCCTGTGGTCAGCTGGGCTGCCTTCCTCAGAAGGGGTAGAAATGCCTGTGAAAACAAGAGTTTGTTTCAATTTGTTCAGCTTGCTCTTGGCCCGTTCAAGGCAAGCAGAACTGTTGGGTTCTGCTCTGTGAAGAATTGCAGTACAACTCTATGCCATCAGCACAGAATGGTGATGGCTCCCCAGACAAGCTGACCATAGGAAACCTTTCTATAACAGCCAGCTGTAAGTAGCAAGGACCTTCAGTCTCTTCCACCCACCTCCTAGCCCAACCTGTCCACTGAAGTGACCTCATACCAGAGAGATTTAAATAAGGAGAAGGATCCTTGATAGAAAGGATCTCTTGCTACTCTCTGGGCGTGTAGTTTGATATCAGACCTGTATCTGTGCAGTCCCAAGGTGACAAATGCTTGGGTTACATGTCCAGCTCACTAGTGGAAAAGCCTCTTATAGTACCATAGACTAAGCACATTCCTCCCAATTCTTACCTTAGTGACCATCAGCTGGGCAACTGTATTGGTTTCATAAATGGTGAGCATTGTCTCTGCTGTGACTTCTTCCAAGGACGCAAGCACATTGATGCCAGCATTGTTAATGAGGCAGTTCAGACCTTTGTCTCCCACAATTTCTTCCACTTCCTTAACTACTTTCTTGATGCTGTTTTCACAGACCACATCTGCACAGAGGAGCCAAGAATAGCCACAGTGAGCAGTGAACTGTGTGTTTCAAGTGATGTCTGTCCTTATGTAACACATGCTAAACCAAAGCTAAGGCATTAGTCTGAATGAGGACACTTAGGCAGCACACAGAGATGAAAATGCACAGAAGTCTTCATATAGATTATGTTTCCCTAGATTTATCTTAAGATGAGGGTGATTTTTTTCAGCTGCTGGAGGTCGTGTACAGCTACGGATCACCCAGAAGACCAGTTTCTTAAGATGCATTCAGTCGACTTAGTTGAACATAATTCTGTATAAAGCCCTTTACTCACCTAGTTGCAGGAGCTTGATATTGCTGTATTGCTTGCTAAGCTGCTGTAGTTCCTGGGAAGAAGAAATTATTTGTGTTATCTTTTCTATCTATATATATATAAAAATTTATCTCCATGGCTATTACCTAAAACAATTTGAGATCTGCATTTCCAGAATTGTAACTGCCATTTATTTTCAGAATTGGACTGAAGGCAATGATAGTACTTTGTTTTCCAACTTGCTGAGCAGTTTTCCTGAGAGCAAGATCAACTGCTCCAAGAAACTCAACTCTTCACCTGCTTAGTCAAGATACCAGCACGCCAGATTTTAGTTAGTTCTCAGTGGGTACAACTTGAGGGTCTGTTTGCAGCTCTTCGATCAAGCAGCCACCATTGCCAGTTTCACAGCAGACCCAGTGCTCAGACTGCATTCCAAACCATTAATTTCCCACTTCTGTAAGAAAAGCATAATTCTCCTGAAGCTTAGCTCATGCTAGACATCAGCACGGGGCAACAGGAATGCTTAAGAAAATCCATTTGGAATTACTGTTCGCAATAAATGTTCCCTAGCAATTTTTCCATGGAAATTCCATTTTCCAGCACTCTCATTAGGTTTGATTCTTGTAACTGAAGGTAAAGAATACATGAAATTGGTTACATACATAGTAACTGTCCATGAGAACAATTCTCTTTCTGCTGGACACCTATAGTTCAGTCATCTGCCTGCTACCTCTCCGTAGAAGAATGACTTGGAGAAAATAAATACTATACTGGTGTTGCTGCTGGACAAAGTGCGTCCAAATTGAATTTATAGGCCCAGCTGGAATACTTAGGTTTCTGTGCCATGTAACCAAGTGAGAAGCGTGGCCAAATGTAACAGATGGATTACATACTCCCAGCCGTGTTTAGGAGACTGAGCATCCCTGGACAAACATTCCAGCTCAAGCAAATCCATTTCTTTAGGAGCCCTTTGGGAATAGAGGTCAGGAGGGCTGATTTTGAAAGAGTACTTCTTTGCCACTTGGAGACATTTAGGGACTCTATGTCCTCTGTCAAGCTATAATGCATTACATCTTTTATCTCAGTTCATACTCTGCAGGATTCTCTCCAGGCTTGTTTAGAAAATTTGTTCTCCCACTGAGGACAACCTACAACTGCAGTTAAGGCTATTAAGGGGAGGGGGAAGGAAGGAGAACAAGTCAGAATCGCAAAACCAGAAGACATTCCTTCTCCTGGATAGCACTTAATGGGACAGTTTTCAACAGACTAAAGGCCCAGAACACACTATCTTGTTTATTGATGGTCAGGCATGAAATAGTTCTGCCATGTCAAGGCCTGCAATAATTATGAGGCTTTGGACTGTCTACTGGACTTTAGTTTTGACAGTATCACTTACTCGATAATAAACTCCAGAAGTGCTCTGGCTTCTCAAGGTTTGTTTTATTTATAGTCAGATTGCTTTACTCTGAAAGAAGCAAGCTACTAACTTTTGCCAAAAGGCCAGAGATGTTTTGTGTGGTGATAGCAATGAGAGAGGCTTCTGAAGTGAGTAAGCAATATGTCCAGTTAAGAACTCCAAACACTGTAGCGTTAAGCATTCTCCAGAACATAAACAGCAAGAAATTATAATTGCTGCATGCAAATCAGGTTTAAAATTCAATAGCTTTTCCATTTAGTTAATTACTTAGTTAACAAGTGACTCCCACTTCAGTGGTTTAAGTTTCTCAGAAACAGCTTCCAGGCATAAAGGTAACTTAGGCAGCTTTGGTCTTCAGGAATGTTACTCCACCTGATATAAACATAAGCTGAAAAATCCAGTTAGGAAACCTAAAAATTACAGAAAAGACTATTCTTTTCCCTACTGTGACTAGAAGAAACATGCAGAGAGGACGACCGAGACAAGCTCATGGCAGCGCAATCAGATACAGCCATTTCAAGCCACCAGCCATGTATGCTGCTTCTCCTCTTCCCCCACCCCGAGTAGTTTTGATCCAAGAGATCAAAAGCCTCTTGTGTCCAGACAACTCTGAAAATATTACTGCAATGTGTACATATACTAGTTATTGGCTCCCCACTGAAGGGATAAGCTTTCCTGAAACTCACTGTGGTCATCTCTCAAGTGCCTTGTTCTCATCCCATCAAAAATAAAACAAAAAACCACCAAAACAAAACAACAAACTAATACCACCAAAGTTGTCTGCAAGGTTTTTTTTTTTTCAGCAAACTTGTGCTCACTTTTTTATGCCAACATGCTAGTGCAGAGGCACTGCACCCAGGATGAATAAGTTAAATCTCTGGGAAGACAAGATCTCAGAGCACAGTCTGACAGAGCCAGTGCAGCCCTTAATGGAAACGCATACATAAGAATAAGTGAGCTCATTGGTACTGCTATTTCAAGTGCAGCTTGTATTTTAATGTCAGTTTACACAGTTTCATTTAAAGACAGCAGGTACAGCCAACATATCCCAGGCCAAGTCATTTTTAGTTAGTGTGCTGTGATAGCCAATTTAAAAACAAACCAGACAAACAAACAAAACCCCACCACACAACTCCCTAATACTGTCTTTAGCAGAGTAGCTCTAGAAGTGCTCCACACCTGAATAGTTAACCCTGAGAATCAACTCTTACGGATTCCAAGAGAAATTTAAACTCTGATTAGCATCTGTTGTTTCCTGCTTGCTGATTTTAATTACGATTAGCAGAGTCAGCCAACTCCAGTTTAAACAAGATCCTCTGGTGCTCAAGGCTCCAGATACAGACTTATCAGTACCCGGGATATTTATCGTTAGATTTCAACCAGGAATGTCATGTTGTCTTTGTCATTTAGCAAGATTTACTTTGCCTTCTTTATGAAAGCATTATTCACTTCAGTTACAACTCTTGGAAAGAACCTGGCCGTACTAGACCAGTTGGAAGCAATAAAGCCAAAATAGGCAGCTTTGTCAGGCAAAAGGTACTCGGGTATCCTTTCACATCATCCCGCTTGCACTCGGGACAAAGTCAAAGATGTATCATATTAGCCGGTGTCTCCCTGAGACAGGCTATTCAGTATCACAGTGTACAGCCAACTCACTGTTTGATTGCCTAATAGTTTACACCAAGCTGCTGCCGACTGCCCCAAATCCACAGTCCTTTCTGACTCGTGAAGGGCCAGACCGTAATGCTGTAGGAAGTGCAAAACACTTCCAGAAAAAAAAAAAACCACCACACCACACAAACAATAAAACAAAACAAACACTGCAATAACCCAAAATTAGAAAGACTTCAAGAATGCCCCCTTTGCCTGATATAGCACATCTATCTTGCTACACCGCTGCTCCAGAGATTGCTCAGCTGCTCTTCCCAATAGCAGACCACATGGCTAAAATATGCAGCAAAGGAAAAACAAAACCAAAAACTGACAGAGACAGTGTGCAGAAGCACTTCAGTGAGAGCTGTGTCTGACAAGGAAACAAACACAGCACTGTTAGTAACACTATCTCCTGCTTCAGAGGAAGGGAAACAGCACATTAAGCCCTGGAAGCTTTCCAGAGCCCAGAAGAGGACTCTTGAGCAGCAAGGAACTGAAGGCTTTCTTGTTCACCTGGGAACAGACTTGGGCTCGCAGGGAGAGCAGGAGGAACAAGAGATGCTCCTGTCCCGAAGTCCCACATTCAGCTCTCAGCACAGCCTAGCAGAGCAAAGCCGAGTACAGCAAGTGCTGTGAACAGATGTATGCCGTGGCCATTCGGATCCTCTCAGCTACTTTGCTTCCCTGGAAAGCTACCTCTTCTTTCAGCAAGTCAGAGGGGGGACTACAGGGGCTACACCATCATTAGGTGTAGTCTTAGACTCTGGGTCGGAGTTTTTTCCCTCTAATAGGAACGCAGGATGGGAGAAGAAAGATCAGGAAAGAAAAGCAGGAGGTGGGAGGAGAGGCTGCCTAATAACTGTACTGTGGTTTCGTCCATCCGGAGTACAAAGACTGAAACGTCAGGATTATTTTGCAAGAGAATTATTACTGCTTCCATTCTCAGTGCTCGAGCAGCCCAAGTAAAGGCAGATCAGAATCAAAATGTGGCTGAAGGAGTCTAGTACGGTACTTTTCAAGGAGGGGCAGCGGTTAGCTAGATGTGCCTGCAGGCCTGCTGCATGTTATCGTGTGATCTAAAGCCCATTTGTTAGGCAAATGTTCTGTGGAGGCCACCTAGGAGCTATTCAGCACAAGAACTCAAGTTATCACAACTTCTGCCAGCACAGACTCACATGCGAAAGCTTGCAGCTGTTGAGCATTATCCCAGGATTAGCGAGTTACAGGAGGCACGCTGCTTTCTGGAGTAGACAGAGGAGAGCAAAGTCAGACTCTTCTCCAGCGTCTCTTTCTAACGGCAGGTCTTTAGGGGCTCTTGTCTGTCCGCTGTTTGGAAGACCCCAAAGTATGCAGTCATTTGTGTAACAGCATGCACTCTGCCGGGAGAGTCTCTAGATAACTCTCAGCTACAGAATTACTGCTGTTTAGTCACTTTTCCTCTAAAAACTGGAAAGTTATTTTTTAAAGGCTTTCAATGTAAGCTCTTCACATCGTTTTTCCTCTCACTGCATTCTGCAGCAGGAAAATGCTACTCTACCAAACCAGATGAGAGCACAATTTAAGAGAGCTGTCCAAAATTGCTGTTGTCCAAATCCATCCTCTAATCCAGTAGAGGAAGTGGGGGGCAGTGCACTTACATTAAGCAAGACTTTTCACATGGTCACTTACCATAAAGCAAAGTGTTAATTTTAACAAAATTAACTTGAATCACTGTCAAGAGAAAAAGCAAGCACTGACAGCTCAGGTGTGCAGGGAGAGAACAAGTCACTCAACTTTACAGCCCAGCCTGCACAATCTACAAACATATCTTAGATGGGCAAAGCCCAGTTCATGTGCACTAGGACAAGTCTGCAGTGTCAATCTCTGCAGCGCAGGAACCTGAACTCTGGGTTTTCAAGATTTGACTGGGAAGTCAGTGAAGACAAGAAGTTTTCTCTCTGGGGAAAAAAAAAAACACAAAAACAACCTGAACCTTTGCCTTTCCTTACCATACTGCACTCAAG